TCTCTGTGTGCGTATGTCTGTTTAAGAGAGGGGAGAGGGAGGAAGGAGGAGGAGGGAAAAGAAAAAGAATGGGAAAACTTATTTTGCAAGGGGGGAAAATGCTGTCACTTTAAATCGGAACTGAGCATGCCTGGCTGTGGAATTCTGGGAGTTGAAGTCCACAAGTCTAAAAAGCTGTTTCACCAGCCATAAAGCTCACCGCACGTCACTGTTTCATAGTTGTTCTTGTCTTCTGGCAACTCTGTGCATACGCACACTGGAAACAGCTTCCCGCTGTTTTTCTGCCTCACTTCTGTCTAACTTCCTCTCTGCCTCCGACGCAGAGCCCTCATCTGAGGTTCCCTCAGTCCCCAGGACTGGCCCATGTTCCTCCCTAATGCCCTCACTCTCTGACTGCTACCAGCTCTGCTGGTCGCCAGCAGGCCATAACAACTATGTAGCAGGTATTTTTCTTCTGCTCTGCAACTCTGAACAACTGACAGCTAAGCATGAATGTTTTCAGGAATAAGGGAAATGCTCTCTTGCAACTACTCAGCTTTTGATAAGCAGATACCTGTACATCCTAGCCAGTTTACCAGTTGCTGCAATGCAAAGCACAGTCTTTGCAGATATTTCTTTTTCCTTGTTTCAGAGATTTGATCTGAATCTGAGGTCTTTTTCTTGGGAAAGTTAGTATGCTCATGAGCACAAACTTTCTCATGCTAAATGATTGCCGACATATAGTAATTCTAAGAAATTCTGCTTAGACTCTTTTTGTCCTTTTCTGTTCCCACAGGTGGCCTTTACAGTCCTCTTTGATCTGGAAGCTCTCCTAAAGATCTGGGGCCTGGGATTTACTGGATACATCAGTTCATCTCTTCATAAATTTGAACTGCTGCTGGTTATTGGAACTACTCTTCACATTTATCCTGTCCTCTACCATTCACAGTTTACGTACTTTCAGGTAGAGTGCTAATTTCCACTTCAGTATACCAGAGGAAAATATGACTTGTAATCACTGTGAAAAGTGTCTAAATATTGTTGATGTTTATTAATTTATTTTGTGGCTTTATTGTTTTCATTTTCAGCGTGATGGTCACCTGTCAAGTACCTATCAAGTACTTGTCAAGTAGATATTTCTTATTAATTTATCATATTTGTTGTGGCAATATACTTTTTTATAATCAAATCCAAAGCACTGTAAAATGTATATGCCACCTTTCAATTTTACTTGAAAGATTTTCAACTTCAACCATAGCTTTTCAGATAGCTAAGCCCTCCAAATATCGATATGCTTAAAATGCTAAAATATAATCTAACCTAAAAGCCAATAATTAAAATTGTTAAATAAAATTTACTTTTCTGTTCCTTTTGAGCTTCTGAAACGTCTCATTCTTCCACTGCCTGCATGGCTTGTTTCATCCAGATTCCGTAGTCTTCTTCTCCAATTTATACAGGTTACATCTCAGAAAAGATTCTCAGCTTTCTGCAACTGGTGCCCGAGTGGGAGGTGCTGGCCTGAGTGCACAGAGTCCATCAAGTCCCTCATGGTTGGGAAGAACCCCAAACTTAGGTTGAAGGGGCAGGTGTTTCTTTTCATGGAGCTAAAGTCCTGTCAGGAGACATGGCCTGGCTCATGGTCTCTGGGTTATTGGATGGATGGTTTGGATGGATTATCCGCCAGACTTTGACATCTCCTGTGAGTTGATTGCTGTCAACCCAGAAGCAGGATGGAATCTCTTTCCTAACCTAATCTTTTCTTTCCTTGCTGATCTGGAACTAGCGCCATCACTGGTTGAAGGATTTGTTGTTTTGTCCAGATGTCTCTGGGAATATCAATCATTATGTTCAAATCCATTTGGCCATTTTGTTCCTTGCACCCAGTGGTGGGTTGCAGGCGGTACGCCCCGGTATGCGCATCCCGGTGCCTGCCAGAAGCAGCATACCGGAATGGTACTTTGGATGGCCCGCCCACCTGCCCTCATTCCTTACCTGTATTTGAAGGAAATGGACCCATCTGCACATGCGCACGTAGCGTATGGCGCCTGCGCAGCTGGAGCATCGCAGGCGGTGGGTTTGCATGCATGCACAGCGTGCATGCCCATGGTGCACGCGTGGCTCCCGTTGCAGCATAGCTGTTGCAACAGGAGCCGAAACCCACCACTGCTTGCACCGTTTGAGTCATGGTGGTGCACTGGTTAGAGGGCAGTACTGCAGGCTATTTCTGCTGACTGCCAACTGCCAGCAATTTGACAGTTTGATTCTCACCAGCTCAAGGTTGACTCAGCCGTCCATCCTTCCGAGGTTGGTAAAATGAGGACCCAAATTGTTGGAGGCAATATGCTGACCCTATAAACTACTCAGAGAGGGCTGTAAAGCACTGTAAAGCAGTATACAAGTCTAACTGCTGTTGCTAGTGCTATTGCTATTTGGTATTGGTGGCAGGGTCCATTTTGTTCACCTGGCTCATTTCTCTGGACATGGTCTTCACTGTTGCGAAAGGACCAGAAGCAGTCCCAGATGACTCCGCATTTGCAGCACTCACTTCTGAAGGAGTTGATGATGATTAGTTCTTTTAGTCCCTCTTTTCAGATGACCAGCCTGCCTTGTGGGATTTGTGAGGCTGTAATTAAGATAATAGCCCTATTTTGCTGATTTCCTTCTGGTGTGCCCTCTGCAGACCCTGGGGCTCACCTCTCTGGCCAGGGGTGATGAATCAAAAATCTGCAACTGGATCAAGAGCATAATCACTTCTGAACTTCCGTGCTGGTTTAGGATCTTCATCTTTCTTACATTAGCAGGAATGCCCTATATAGCTGGGGACACTGCAATAGTTCTCCCTCCTTTTTCCTCTGAGTTGTTGTATCTAGTACTTCTGCTGGCCTGTACTTTGATTCCATGATCTCTGCTGGAGACTACATCTCCCATAACCCACTGCAGTATCCTCCTCCTGTTTAGAGTTTCATGGACCAGGCTCCAGCCACAGGGCAACAGATAATTTGGGGCATCTCTAGAAGAAAGAATTTTTGCATATTCTCAACTCCAATATGGTATTGGGTTTTCCTTATAATAATCAGGCTTTTATTTATTATATGATACATCAAAGACCCTTACATTTGGATCCTTAAGAGACTTTAATGTTTTGCAGTATTGAAATGCATTAATTGATTCATCACAGAAATTCTGAAGATCAGTTAGATCCTTAGATTTAAATAGATATTCTGATTAAGACATAGCTTTTTAAATAATATATAATCCATTCAGTATTTTATTTTAAGCTTCGCCACAACCTTTAAAGGCGTAATCTTTAAAATGACTGTTTAAGATTTGAAAATCAAGAGCTTTTCATAAATCAGTGGCTGAAAATGCTGTATTCTCAAACCAGTCAAAATATAGATCTTAGGACACCACAAAATGAAGAGTGCATATCTTCTAATACTTGCTTCATGGTCATTTTTATTAAATTGTCTTGTGTAAAGGTTACATAGGATTTTTAGGCAAAGTATCAGCATGTTGACAATTTTAAGTTACCTTCTGCAATGAAGGCTTCCTATCCTCAAATGATAGTCGGAGGACTTTAAAAAATGCATTGCCTTTGCTACATGAGTTATCCTTCTGTCCATTGTGGCCAACATTCATTTCCCAAAAGCCCATAGATAGATTTTAAACTATAATTATACACACATACACACACACAAGCAAATATATAGCCATAAATCTTCCCTGCAAAGGAAAATGAAAATCCATGTTTGCCCTGATGGATGACTGTTAGATCTAGATTTGATTAAAATTTTAACATTTTAATTATAGAAAATTGAAGTCTTATTGGAAAGAGATAATTTTAAAGATGAATCGAAGAGCCAAACTAATGCAATGGACAGGCTATCTAGTAGCCTATGGATATTCAAAAGCCTATGGATGTTAGAAGAAGAGAGGGAATGAAAATACAGTATAAATACATCTGAAATAATTACAGGGAGTCCTCAACTTACAGTTATTTAACGGCCATTCACATTTATGACGGTGCTGAAAAAAGTGACTTATGAACAGGCTTCACACTTAACAAAAATTGCAGGGCTCCACAGTCACCTGATTGCAATCTGGTTGCTTGGCAACTGGCATTTCTTTACAATGGAACACTTGTCCTTGGCTCAGGTGATTGCCATTTTTCCAGATGATTTCTGACAAGGAAAATCAGTGGCTGAAGCCACTCAATGACCACAGTGATTTGCTTAATGACCGTGGCAAAAAAAGGTTGTAAAATTAGGCAGAGTCATGTGATGACTCACTTAATGTCTGCATCATCATTTAGCAGTTTCGATTGTGGCCCTAAGTTGAGAACTACCTGTATTGCAGCCAAAATCACAAAATAAAGTAGTTGAAACAACTGTTTCCCTTCACAATGATCACCATCAATGTTTTGAACAATGTTCGGATTATCCTTCATAATAGTGTGTGTGTGTCTGTGTCTGTGTCTGTGTCTGTATACATATATTCATACAAACACACCCACACACCAGTGGTGGGTTTCCATTTTTTTTACTAATGGTTTGCTCGTGAGCATGTGCTCATGCGCGCGATGCTTTTGTGCGGAAGCATCCGGGCAGGTGGGCAGAGCCACCCGCCACCACCACTACCGCTTTGCCAGATCTGGGCTGAACCAGGAGCAAACCCGCGTCTGACACACACCACAAAAACAAAACAAAATCTTTTTTTTTCTATACAATATGGTATAAATTGAAGGAGCCAATCATTTCACATTATTGATGGTAATATATGTGTGTAGCTTTTCTCAGATATACAAACACTCTGATGCAGTCATATATGATTTTGGATTTATGGAATAAGAAACATTTATCATGTGTTGGAGAGGGAGAAATCTCTGGAATTGATTGCAGTTTCCTGCCTCTAATCCTCCCAAACAATTCAAACCATGCTCAAATAAAAATACAGACTTGCAAAGGATACTGTTTGAAGCTTGTCCTGTTTCTCTCTTGATGAAAACAAATGGCCTTGTAAACTGGTTTCTGGAAAGATTAATTGGATACTTAAATGTCAATTAAGGTAGCATAGCTATGGATGGAAGCACCCACAATAAAATATTTAGCAGGACACTAGTTAAGCATCAAACAAGTAACTTGTTTTTAACATTTAAAGAAAAACTGGAGTTTCAGCTATTCTGATTAAAATATATAAACAGATATTGAGTGATTGAGTGATTGAGTGAGTGACTGATTAAAAGTCAATTAGCTTAGGGAGTATGATATTTAGGGTGATATGGAGATACTATGTCCAAGGTACAGATTATCTGTTATATATCTCACTTTCTCAGAATGGGGAACAAGAGAGCTTCCTCCCTTTGGTGAAGGACGGTTGGTATTTAGGAATGTTTAAGTGGAATTTTTTTGTACCTGTTGTAAACCTTTCCCGACTCTCCCATGTATATGTATTTTTCTGTTAGTTTCTCTTTTTTTAAAAAAGTAAATGTTTGGGCCCCACCTGCTCTACTTTGATATCAACAGACATACTGTAGGCATACCCTCTACTCCTTCAAAGCCAGGGATAATGTAAGCGACTAAGTCACAAAAGACTAGCAGACATATGGGAATTAGAAGAGATTTCAGTATGACTGACATTCAGGGATAGACAACCTGATGTCCTCTGAATGTTAGACTTATCATTTTTGGGGTTATGCTGACTAAGGCTGAAGGAAACTTAAGATGAAAACATTAAATTGTCCCACTCTGCAAACTCCTTAGTTTTCAAGTAAGATTCAAGGTGGAATTGCAGAAAAACTAAGACTTCTCATAACTGTTGTAACAATAACCCTAGAAATATTTCATTTTAACGCACAGCTCTGACCTAAATTTTTGTAGAAATTGCTGTCTGTTTCTGTAAGTTACTATTGGCTATTTAATTTGGTGTTCTTTCCTTCTGTCATGTTTGTACTGATTACAAGGTATCATATTTAGACACAAATTAAAGAAAGTGTCAGCATTCCAAATAGCATCCAAAGGTGAATTAGAGTCCAAGGCAAAGTATTGCTCAAAGTTCCAATTTATTAAGAGAGCCATGTTGGCACATCTGGGAAAACCCGAATCTGAAAGCTTCCCG